AGAATTTAATAGTCCAAAATGGCGGATCCAACATGGCCGACTCGTATGCCAAAAAGTTATTAGATTTGTGTGAAATTTTGTATACAGAGGTTTTTCGGTCCGCTGATTCCGAATCTGAGATCGAAATTAAGAAAATGAAAATGGTGGATCCAATATGGTCGGCAGACTACGAATTTAGTCCGAGTTTTCGGGGTCGAATCGACCACTGTGCAGCGTGTAGTTGTAAAATAATCGATATTGATACTAAATACTCTTTACTCTTGACAGGTAAAGAGGTTTAACAATTGAACGTTGTCCCTGCAACATCCCTTATGAGATACTGATATTTCCACGCGCTGAAAGAACGACATGTGAGTGAAAATGATACGCGAGGCGTGCTGAAGGAGAAATGGAAGGCGGTCGAAGGTGATATTTTTGCAGAATCGGTAGCTAGAATATTTGCAATATCATAGAAGAATAAAAGATCCCCATAAAAAAGTACAAGAAAGTAGAAAAAGATGTGAAATCAAAATGAGCTGCCAGTGCATGAAAGTCCTTTTCAATAAAGTGCAAAGGCGACACTGTGTAACACAATGTAAAATTCGGTGGTTTCCAACTATGCGCAGCTAAAATGCTGTGTTCAACAGTGCAGACGTTCAGATCCTAATGCCAATTCATGTAAAGCGACTGCTCCACACTTTGGCGGTGACATGAAGAAGCTAAACAGCAAATCATCCACAAACTGAGGCTGTTTAAAAATTGGCCTCGATATCTGCGGCCTGGAAGTCAAATGCTTGGCGTGGCCAGCTAAGGCATTCTCAGATCATCAAGACCCATACTTTCTCTCTCGCAAGCTTTCACATAATTTGTCAATTTAAAACTCTTACGATAGGAGTGCATTTCCATTGTATTGCGTTTTAAATTATTTCTAAGGTCATTCATCGACACCAATACCTTTCCTCTCACAAGCTTCCAGATAATTTGTCAGTTTAAAACTCTGACAATATAAGTACACTTTCATTATTTTGCGTTTTAAAATAATTCTTATTCATCGACACGACCACTATTTATAACACACAATTTATTGTATTAAAACACTTATTCTTATTTGCACAAAATGAACATTTACTGAAATTTGTATTATGAACTGCACACTCAAACACCAAATTTATATACATCTTTCCACAACGACAAGGTAGATATTTTATCACTTATAACCATATACTTTCCAATACAATATCATTACACGTAGCCTTTAAAATAATTATTAAATTTGCGGCGTCCAAATGTCACGAACACAAACTGACAGGTTTTAAATGACAACTGTCACAAATACAAACTGACAGATTATACAGGTTAGAAATGAACGAGCGACGTGAGCGGCAGCCATATTACAATTCCGGCCGACGAGCCCTGCCGACTGATTCCGAGAGTCGACGAATCGACGAACAGCCTTAGCTGCTATTGGCTAAGTGTTGACGAAAAATCGACTGGAAAAGTATAAGAAGGTAATATTTTTGAATGTATCGTGACATGATATTACGATATCTCAGTTGTACGTGGACCGATTTTATTAATTTTGGTTTTATTCGAAAGCTTATATGCGATTTACATCAGAAAAATGCGTTTAAATTTAGAAAATATTGCAGGCGTGATGAGATATTAATGAAAGAAGTTTCCAGGTTAGAAGTTTTTAGGTTAGAAAAAATGGACCATCTCTCCTGTAAAAGATATACAGGGTGTCCCAAAAATGTTGTAACACCTTGAAAGGGGTGGTTCGGGAGGTGATTTGAAACAACTTTTTCCTTCGCGAAAATGTTGTCCGAGGCTTCGTTAAGGAGATATTAACGGAAAACAGTGACCAATCAGAGCGCGAGGATGCCGGTGGAGCGCACGCGGCAGCGTATGAGCGCGGCCGGCTAGCGCGTAGCCACGCCTACTGCGGCCGCCCCACCGGAATCCTCGCGCTCTAATTGGTCCGGAGTTTTCCGTTAATATCTCCTCAACGGAGCCTCGGACAACATTTTCGCTAAGGAAAAAGTTGTTTCAAATCACCTCCCGAATCATCCCTTTCAAGGTGTTACATTTTTGGGGCACCCTGTATATAAGCGGTATATAAGCGGTAGCTTATATACAGGGTGGCTGTATAATTTTTCATGAACTTGGCGTCGCGTCTCTAGATATGTCCTATTGTCTGCGCTACCAAGGGTTGGTCAAAATGTATCATACAATTGAAGTCGCGGTGCAAGTTACTCTTCTAAGAAAATACAACGAATAATTTAACGCTGTTTAGGTCTGTTGAAGATAAGCAAAGGGGGAGAACCGGTAGCTGTGGACACAGGAGCATACACTATGGGACATGGGGTATGCGTATGGAACTGTATGGAAGGGAACGGAGCGGTATGGAGCGTATAATACAGACATAAAGGGGGGAGAGTTTCGAGCAGCCGTCGGTCCCCCACTGTTTCGATCCCCACTTTCCGGGACCCTCTCCTACTCGTTTCCACTCGTTTCTACTCCAGCGGTTCCCCTAGCAAATCGAAAGAGTTTCCCTCTCGCCCCTGAGCCGACCAACGAGCCACTGACTTCTCCTCAGTCGACGTTGAAGAGACGTTTACGTTTACTCGCTACGCGCGCAACGTTGCGATACTTACTCTGACGCACCCGTCGTCGTCGTCGCGTCGGCTTTGCTCTCAGTCAGGATCCGCGTAGCGCAGGAAAAAAAAAAGGAGGAGGAGGAGGCAACTGCAACGCCACCGGACCAGGGGCCCCGTCTGTTGCACAACTCCGCGTCAGGCTTCTCCGTGTGATCCTCCAGTGAGTCCCTTCAACCACCTTCAACAAGGGAAAGGAAAAAGTTCTCTTTCAAAATCAAAAATTGTATCGCACCGTTCCATAATCGAAATTTTCATTTAATTTCGGTAACGATCAAGAGATTGTTTGTAATCGGATCACAGGGTATAACACCGTCGTTTATTTACCTCGACCTTACCTTGTTTACCTTGAATCGATGGCGACACGTGTATTTGGTCACTCGGCAGCGACGGAATAAAACAGAATAAAATCGTCGGAGACCCACCGATCCTGAAGACCTCGTTGGAGCGCGTGGTTCGGTGACCGGTCGCGACGCGCGCCTTCTCTTCTGGAAGAAAAAGAAAAGGCGATCCAGGAGTAGGGCAGAAGAAAAGGAAGAAGGAGAAAAGGGACAGAGAGGCACGCCGCGTGGACATACTCGAATAGCTCGTACAATCGAGTCCATTCGGAACCGTTTCACCTGGTTCCACCGCTTTTGATGAAGTCCTGCGGGAGCTGTGGCTCTTACCACTTCCCCTGATCCAGTCGGCTGAAGAGAGAAGAAGAGTCGCGTTGAGCCATCTTTGACAAATAAAACAATCATGTATAAGCTACTGGGGGGTCTCGGTCAGTACCTGAAGTGGCAAGAAGTCACCACCGACTCGATGGTGTTTAGATTGCACAATCACTTCACCACGGTGCTACTCTTCACGTGTTCCATGGTGATCACAGCCGCGCAGTACGTCGGTAATCCGATCTCTTGTATCGTTAAGGATCTACCAAAGCACCCTATCAACACCTACTGCTGGATCACGTCCACGTTCACCATGCCAGACGCGTTCAATCGACAGGTGGGTCTTCTATTTTTCGTTACGAGACAATGACCGATTACTTTCTTTAGATAGAGCAAACACCATTTATTGCTGGCTTTTAACAAGAGTGTATAACAAGAAGCAGAAGCAGTGCTACTCGAGCAGAACTACAGAAAAGGAAAACGGAACAGCGAACAGGGGAGTTGGTTCTAGAGAAGACAAAGTACACCTGCTCCTCTTTTAATTGAGAATTAAATAGTATCAATCCGTGACCACAGATTTATCTTTATTAAGGGAGAAAATAAGTGTATGGCTACGTGATTTGAAGGAATTTTTTTTAGCAAGAAAGGAATGTATATAATTTAATGAAACTTTCAGAACATTTTGTACACATATTCAAGAAAATATTGTAATTTTTTAGACATATTTCCTCTGAATATATGGAAGATATCAGATGTAGCTTTGCATAATTAGTTTTGCGTAAATTTTGGAGGCCACAGTTTTAATCTGAAATCAGTGGGGATTTACATTTACTTTAAAGAAATGAATTCTTCTATATAAACCTAAATTCTCCCCTAAAAAATTGAATATTGCATTTTTGGAGGTGTTTAAACGAAAGAGCATCATTTTTTGCCATTTTTGTATAACGTTATTTGCAATTAAAAGACATTTTAAACAACGATACGTAGATTCTTATAGAAGAAAGACATGTCTTCAAAGTAAATGCAACTCCAGAATGCAAAACAGCTACACTTGATGGTGACCTCCAAAGGATGGCAGCTGATATCTTTCATTTTTTTCACCGACTTGTAAAAAGGAAGAGGTTATTATAGAGGTTATTTTTTTCTTTTACTGACTACAAAATTATGAAATGTAAAATAAACGGTTCTCAAGAAGCCTGCGATGTGGCAAATATTGTAACCGAGTCAAATGATCGTGTCCAATGGTCAAAGTATTATGTGGAGTTATCCACATAATACAATTCAACGGTCAGAGATAATTTAATATCGTTATAAAAACAGTGCCATAAATTGAACGAATTGTATCTATTATCTCGTCATTCACGAGTTTGTCTGTTGCAGGTTGGCGTGGAGGTGGCTCATCCTGGAGTGGCGAACGACTTCGGCGACGTAGACGCCAGGAAATACTACACGTACTACCAGTGGGTGTGCTTCGTATTATTCTTCCAGGTAACAAACTCCTTTATCAATGAATAACAACTACGATATTCCTACTAAAACGACTTTGTCTTTCGACAGGCGGTGATGTGCTACGTCCCGCAGTGGTTGTGGAACATGTGGGAGGGTGGTTTGGCGAACGCGTTAGTTATGGGTATGAATCATGGCCTGGATCGCGAGGCGAACATCCACCAGAAGAAGTGCGTGTTAATGGACTACATCATAAATCATAAACAGGTGAGCGCGTCGATTGTTTACCGCTTTAATCAATAATTTGGTGAAGCATGTACGAGCATAGTTTCTTGATAAGTATCCTTCTAACTGCGACACGATGCTTTTAATTGCGATACGATGAGGACTAGATTAGACAAGGGAAGAGGTCAAAAGAGAGGGATCGAGACAGGTTAGATCCAATTTGCCTTCGTTGAGTCCAATTCGTGTCAATTCACCGACTGCTCGTTCTTTCAGACTCACAGTATGTACGTGTACCGATACTTCGGCTGCGAATTCCTGTGCCTGTTGAACATCTTCTTCCAAATGTACCTGATGAATCGGTTCTTCGACGGCGAGTTCATCAGCTACGGTCTGCGCGTGCTCCAATTCTCGGACGCCCCCCAAGAAGAGCGCATCGACCCCATGGTCTACGTGTTCCCGCGCGTCACCAAGTGCATCTTCCACAAATACGGTGCCTCGGGTACGATACAAACCCACGACTCCCTCTGTATCCTACCGCTGAACATCGTCAACGAGAAGACCTACATCTTCATCTGGTTCTGGTTCGCCATTCTCTCCGTCCTGCTACTGGGATTGGTGGTCTACAGGGCCGCCATCATCTTCGCACCGATCATCAGACCGAGACTGCTGCACGTGTCCTCGCGGCTGCTGTCCATCGAGACCTGCAACAGCATCAGCAAGAAAACCGACCTCGGCGACTGGTGGCTCCTCTACGTCCTCTCGTCCAACATGAACTCGCGGATCTACAGAGACTTCTTGCAAGAGCTCACCAAGAAGATGAGCGACACGCAATCCGTTGCTCCGTAGATTACCTTGAAACAATTCCATGCGAAGGACATCGACGGGCGCTTCGTGGAAGTTAACGCGATAGTTTGTCAAAATATTTGGACGTCTAGCGTCCGAAGAAAGCGATCCGTATGCTCGACTGATAGAGAACGGTGTAGATACGCGACGATACTCTGTTATACGCAAGCGAACGATTTAGGATCTCTGTATGCGTGCGTGTGTGCCTGTGTAGCGGAGTGTGAATCAATGTTGGAAAAAATTGCGCGTCTCGGTCCACGTCGTGCACTACGAGTCAGATTCGTAGAGATTTAATGGGTTAAAAGCCGTCCTGCTTTTTACGTAATATCCATTTCTATAAACAAGACTGTTTTCATTTTACGAAGAATCGCTCAAAGCGTTTCCGCTTCTACAGCGACTGTAGAGAATTTCACGATAGCGTGGGCGCGAGTATCCTTTAGCAAGCAACATTTTTCTATCGTGATATCATCCGATGATTTGTCGACGGCGGTGACTGTACCCGTCGCTAGAAATTCTATTTTCATACATTCCTCTGTAACGTATTCGGATACAAGTAAATGCTTACTTGTCGACGGCATTAATGCTATTTACTCTATAATACCTATAGGTTTCTTACATTTTACATTTTACGGTACAGTACTGTGAATAGCGAGCAATCGAATGCGAAACACCGTCTGTTTTTTAACGCGGACGTCTTGTACCGAATATTTACCCATTTGTGTTCCAGCGACGAGTAAATATTTATCGAAGAAATACTTATATTTAACGATATGAATCTTCCAGCAGCGCGCAAGCCTTTCATTAACGAGTTTGTAAGCGTTAAACGAACTGTATCATATCCATGTTTAATTCTAAGAGATAAGAACTGAGAGACATTGAACCGAGTACAACGACACCGTCTTGGCGAGTAGCGAATAAGTACAAGTTACTACTGTTGTATTCGATTTGACAATATATTTAACTGAGTCAAAGATGCTATGTTAAACGTTGCTAGAATTCGCACAGTTATTTAATTATACGTAGGAAGCTTTGGGCCAGCGGATGCTTTCCAAGCGAATGCTTTTTTCCTTTCGCTTGGAATCTTTAGA